GTGTAAGTGTGGCCCATGGGCGGGGCAAATAAGACCTCGAGGGGGGCTATTGCCCTCCCCCCCTTGACCCCCTAAATGACGCCCGTGACTTGTATTGAGTAAGAATGCGTGGAGTACTTTGACATTACTTGGAAGTGTTGGTGGTATTGAGTATAAACGGAATACAAAGATTGAAATAATAAATCTAGATATCAATGTACTGACTATGCTCATGCATCACGTAGTATCTGCAAATTATTGCAAGGTACAAAAGCTTCCAAACAACTTGTCCATTGTACAATGGCAAAGAAAACAGAGTGAAAAAATTAAATACACCGTCGCGAATAAAGTTATATCTATTATAATAGGTTAATTGTTTCATAATACTTCGAGCCCGAGATGCGCTTGCCGCTCTTCTCTTGAATCCGTTCCCTCGTTTGTTGATCAAATCGCGGGAAATCGTCAACGGAGTAGTGTGTCCCTTGCTTTCAATGGTGAGACGTCCCAAAGGACATACGCTTTAACCTCGGAGAAAGAAAGTTGGGAGTGATAAAAGAGCGTTTGAGCATCAGCTTGAGCAGTTGCAACCCAAGCGCCGCAGAGCGGTGGCTCGACCTCAGGCCTCTGGGTCGGGCTGGCCGAGGGAGCCTTTCCCGTACTTCCATAGACATCTCTGCCAGTTTCGTTGTGAGATTTCTTCTGACAGTTGACGAAAAGATATTAAGGAAGGTTATTTGTAAATTTTGAGTAATTGCTGAGTAAAGTCAAGATGAGAAGTTGAAATGCACCCAGAGCCGCCTTTTTATTCCAGGGCGCCCAAAACCAAGGCACCACAAAATTCCATGAAATCAGTACTGTGCAGGGAACTCCTTCATCCACTGGCCTTCAGTGTTTAAGTGTTTTTGTATAAGATTAATCTTGAAAAGAAGTAAAGAAGGTATTTGTTAATGAGCGGTGCACCTTCCAAAACCAGTGTATTTCGAACCCCAAAATCTGAAGCTAACCTTTCCTACCTGCTATTTACTTCCTAGACGGAGTACAAGCTTACCCTCTGTATTCCCTCTCTCTTAGCATTTTGTGCCAAATGATTTTGTTATTGAAAATATTTGTGGCACATACCTTCAATGTGGAGGGGACAGAAGAGCTGCGGCAGGAGGAATCATAGAAAATGCAACAGAACTCTGGCTGTGTGAGGGTGATAAGGAATTGGTCTCGGTAATTTTCTATATTACCTTCACCTCTTTGATATCGACGATTTTGGTATCGTTGGATTCCTCTCACTCTGTACAATGCAAACATGTAGGTTTTATTGCGCGGAAACCCCCCGTTAGTGGCAAACTTGGCCCCGATAGCAGGGGTGATGATGTCGGAGCGGCGGACGTTATATAGAAAATTACCCTAATAATATAACCCACAGTGAAAATAACCATAGTTATTCACATGACTTCCCACTGCAGGGGGCTGTCCCCCTTGCAACCCCCTCCTTAGGGGGGCTACTGCCCCCCCAACCCCCACCAAGGACACAAAATACTCCCCGTGTATTCACGGCAGGATAGAGCGCACACGAATTAGATGCATCGTAAAAGGTGCAAAACCCGCTGAACCGATGAGGGTGGGCCACCGCTGCGCTTCTGTTCATGGTATACCTTGTTCATCCTAATTATGCTACAATCGTATGTATACAATGTTGACTATGTCGAGGTTAGTATGCTGATTCAGTGGTAATGTTAGGAGGTACGAGATCGCCGATGGCTGTGTAACGCTCTAGCCTGCCGGGAATACATGGTGGAGGTTTTGTGTCATCGGTGGGGGTTGGGGGGCGGCAGCCCCCCCATGGGGGGTCGCAATGCAAAGTCATGTGAATAACCATGGTTATTTTCACTGTGGGTTATATTATTAGTGTTATTTAACCCCGCATTTTCCCTGGAACTTTTCATGCCCTCCCATGCTATCGGGGCCAAGTTTGTCACTAACGCACTAACGTTTCCACGCAATAAAAACTATATATTTGCAATGTGGACAGTGAGAGGAATCCAACAATACCAAAATTGTCGATATCGGAGAGGCGGAGGTAATATAGAAAATTACCTTGGTCTCTAAGCAGTATACTGTTATCAAGGGGTTTCTGTCATATTCATCTGGTGGATAAGTTTTGGCTTTATCCATATGCTAGTCTACGCAAAGCCTGAAATTTCCCTTATTACCATGTGCTGGTGTTTGGCACTTGTAGTTTACACTGAGCTGGCATATATTCCAAACTCTTAACATTGGGGTAATTTTACAGAATAGTTATGCCCAATAGATTGCAACAATTTTGATATTGATGGATTCCACTTGCATGGAAACCTCCCATTAGTGACAGTCTTGTCCCTAAAAATGGGAAGGGCATGAAAGGTACCAGGGAAATGGCAGGGAAAAATATGAATAATGTACACAGAACTGGCCACTATAATGTCTAACGCAGGGGGCTGTCCTGCCACTCAACCTCCACATTCTAACACAAAAAATCCTCTATATATTCACAGCAAGGAGAGAGTGTACAACTGACATGTGGAAGCACTTACAAGCAAGTCTGTGTGATGTTCTCTCCTTCCCTGAGTATTTGGAGGATTCTATAATTCTTGGGTGGAGTTGAGGGGCGGCAGCCCCCCACGTGGGGTTACAGGGGGCACAATCCCTTGCAATGAGGGAACTGATTCTGTGTATATTGTTTATATTTAGCCCCATAATTTCCCTGGTACTTTTCATGCGCTCCCCTACTATTGGGGCCAAGAATGTGTAGGTTTATTGGGATTTCAGTGCAATTATTTCCATATATTTAAATAATAGAGTGAGAGGAATCAGTTGATACCAAAATTGTTGTGATCTGTTACATAGAACTTTTGTAAAATTACCAACATTGGTATAACCTTACAAAATTAAGTGTAGAGCTTGGACCAAATCTGTACGAGATCATAATTCACTAGGAAGAGATCGACAAACAGTATCTTGTTAGAATACACTTGAAATGTATGTGATGGCCTTTGCTGCAGCATTGCTTGACTCGCATATGAGATTCAACTCTGTTTATCATGGACTACTTACTAGTGAACGGAAAATATACCCACTAGACACACATGGCGGAAGGTTTTACCTTGATTCCGGTGTGGTCTTAGCAGTGATATGCAGTGGATATATATATATTTTTTTTTTTTCCATTAAATCTGAGGCCGCAGTAGCTGTACCTCACTTGTTTTTTACATTATTTCTTATGCTTTATTAGATGGCAGTGCCCATATCCCTCCTTCTCTGTGTTGCTCTCAGTAACATTAACCTTAAAGAAATGGTAATTTTTAGTTTCACAGCCATGCAAACTTGCAACTATCATTCCTTTTTTTCAATGATTCGCCTTGTAATCTTTTGTCTTCCATCTCAAATGATATAAATAAAAGTATCAGTAAATGTTTACAAATTTTGGATTTTACCCCAGGGTGAACATGTTTTGATTATGAATGTACATACAGTTAGTAATTGAAATATAAAGCTCTAACAAGGCTAACAAGGCAAAAGATGTTTCATCTAGTTCCTATAAAGTTGTGTGTAAAGGGCAAATATTTTTGAGGAGGTTATATGAGTTGAGTTCAGATGTTATTCTTAGTGACCATTTCATTAGTTTTCCACGATCTGTGCCTGTTTGTTTTCTAGATATTATCAGTTCTCTTGCTTTATTTCCTTTTTTTTTCAAACCTTCACATTTTGCTGACAGGGTTGTATGTTGATAGTTATTTACATCCTGATAAAGTTATTCATAGACGTAATTGCAAACACATCATCCAGACTGTAGAGTTTGGTCTGCGCAGGGAGCATGTTTGGTCAAATTCTGTCCATGCAAATGTACTTCTCTGGTAACTTTCTGCGCAAGCTTAGTTTTTTAAAAAATCATCTTCCACGCAGAAAATTCTTTTGACCTTTCCACACACGTTTCATCATCTGTCCGCAGATCCATCTGCACAAATGTAGACAAAATGATGTTTTCCGTGCATGAAAGAATGTAATATTTCCCACACAAAAAAAAAGTGCAATATTGAAATTGTTCCTCAAGTAGATGAAGAATTTTTCAGTGTGAAGCTTCATGCAAATGAGTAATCTAGTAGGAAATTATTGTGAGAATTTGATAAAACAGACAATATTGGATGTCTGTGTCTAAGATCTGCTTGGTTTGAAAGAATTCTGTAAATATTAGTAAGAAGGTTCAAAAGTGGTTTGATGTTTCCACATTTTATGAATTTATTTCTTCATAATTGTCTATATAGAAATCATATTTCTGCAGAAAAAAGTATGGAGTATTTTGAAATTATTTGAATGTAAGTGGTTTTTACTAAAAATATTTATAATGAAGATATGCGGAATGATTTCTTTCTTTTACTTTATTACCAGTATGCTCTAGGTATAAGAGCTAGTTTCATGATATTGAATAGAGTTGTTACCGGTGACTTAGGATTCTTTTCCTCTTTTGATTTTAGGATATTAGAAATTATTTTGCCCGAGTTGGGGCAAAGAAGCCAGAGAAGCCATCCACCCAAGGAAAAGAAGTCAAAAGAAAAGCACTTGTTATTGACTCAGATGAAGAAGATCCTCTTCCTTCCTCCAGTAGGAAGAGAGTTTTAGCTTCTGACTCAGGTGCGTATTTCGGAGGTACAAAAGTGTGAGAATTTCAAACCTTTGTTTAGTTCTTCCATTTAAATATAACTACAACAGCAGGTGCATAAAGCCATGTTTGGTGTGGGGAGTGTCAAAGTTTTGCCTGGCATTGTTATGCACCCCTTTATGAAACTTCTATGAAGATTTTATTTTATTTTTATAAAGGAACTTTTTTCATTTCCATATAACACTAACCATTTCACAGATATGAAAAGTATAGAGATCATCAATCTGTCAGTTCCATATACTGTTTACCATTGGGTGATAAGAGGCATACATTGTTAATTGATGCTGTGATGACAAAGATACATGCCATGCCCACTGTGTTTTTTCATGTATTGCCTGAACATACAGACGGCTTCACAGATGCTTAATCACCAAGGAGTCAGTTACTAGTCATCTCTTTCTTTCCTTATTTGAATTTTGGAAAGATTTCTTGTAATCTATTATTGCTATTAGTATTGTAAATAACATCATGTCAATGATAAGAAGAAATCCATTGATATTTGTAACATTTAACAAATCAGCTGAGGTTACATAATCTTCTTATTGTTTCCTTGGTGGCTGAGCACTTTCAAAGCTATCTATAAAGTTTACCAAAGTTGACAATACATGTACCAAGCTACAGTGAATTAAGGTTCAGATATTTTATTGTGAAAAAATAGTTCATGTGTAACCCACTTCCAGTGGTTTATATCTTATCAGATGGCTAGACTATCCCACATTCCAGGATTATGTCCCATCATATGCACAGTCTAGCTTACTCTACATAGTGAGCACCAAACAATCATTTGCTTGTTTGACTCAGGCTGCTATCATTTAGGAGAAACAACCCCTCAAAAGCAGCCTCTTTTTAGCCTAATCACCTAAACAATCAGTGATGTTTCAAGTAAGAGTGCAGAGAATGGATCAAATTGCTGTTCCTGTGTTCCAGATTTTTCCCACATGCAATGTGAGCATTTAAAACTTGTACACTTTCAAAGTGGAAATTGTACAGGCTTTGGGCATTAGAAATTGATTCATCTTTTAGGGCTGATATGGTATAAGTGGACAAATAAGCAAGAAAGGTTATTTTTGAGGTAAAATTACCAGTATATTGTGTGCCTTTTTGTTGCTTAACATATGATCAATCTCTCAGATCCCCCCTCCCCCCAGTGGGATTTTTGAGAAGGGGGAATGGCAATTATGCCCCTGGATTGTAATATAGTAGAAGAATACTGTTATATTTCAAAGATATCAGAGATGTGAATGGGGAAGATATGATTTTTTTTTACTTTACATTATGAACTTTTGATAATTTACAGATGATGATGTCCTTTTTGTGGCTAAAAATAAAAAACAAGCCAAGAAAGAAGGGCCAGCAGCATTACCCAAGCCAACCACACCAAAATTAAAACCTGTGGCTCCTTCAGACTTTTTTGGAAGTTCACCGTTGATCAGAAAAGAGGACAGGAAACCATCATTAAAAAGAAAAAAAGTATGCATGTGAATTCTTATCTCTTTTGAGATGCATGTTTTATTTTAATCTATCATTTCTTTATTCCAAGTGTAGCATAGCATTTTGCATGATTGAATTATTTTAATTTAGCATGAAAGATACACTCTAGCAGTAACAAAAGCTGATGATGTACATTATATATATAATACTTTAAGGCCTATTTTATTTTATTTTTTCTTTGTCTTTTTTCATTAGAAACCTTATGACTAACTTTCTTTAATGAGACTCAATACCCATAATTCATTTAATATTACCATCAATAGTGATCATGGATTTTTGGATTCTCTTTTCAATTTTAACTGGATTTTTCAGAGCCGAGACAGTAATATAGAAGAAAACAGTGATGATGACTTTGAGAAAACTCTGGAGCAGCTTGACAGGCAGCAGCAACATGCATCCAAGAGACCAAAACAAGAGACCAAGTCTCCCTTAGGGAATGAGACAAAGCCAAAGCCAAATGAAAATAGTCCTCCAAATAAAGACGTTCCAAAGGGAGGCTTAGCAAGTAAATTGTCAGCTAAAGTGAAAGAGAACGCTGACATAAAAACAATAAAGGATGAGAAAACAACACCACAAAAGGACAGTGGACAGAAAGACAAAGAAAAATTGCATAGCCATGAAAAGAAAAAGAAATACAAAGCTGAGCAGCATGAAGATATACGATATCCAAATGTCAAAAAGGAAAAAAGATCCCCTGAGAAAGATAAAACTGTAATTGTGGAGAAAGAGGAGGGAATAAGTTCCAAGAAAGAAAAAGTTACACCTAAGAAAGAGAAAGGCAGTCCATCAAACACAGAAGCATTATCAGAAGTGAAAAAGAAAACCCCTAAAAAGAGTGAGACAAGTGAAAGTGAAGATGTTGGATCCACCCCCCAGCCAGATGAAAAGAAGAAAAATTCAAAGGCAGCTTATATGAAGTTTTTGCAGAGATCTGGGCCCAGTAATCCAGGCAGCAAAGAGATACCTGAGGTGATAGCTTGATGTCTTTCTTAAGCATTGTTATGATTTGTCATTTATTGCTGATGAAGGGGTTTGGAATTTAGAGGTTTAATTTGTTGAGTAAACTATCTGCTCTTAAGAGAGTGCTGTAATATTATGCTTGGTATACATGTGTCTATACTTTTAAGTTTCACATTTAAGTCCTAGTTTTATACTTATACCTGCTCTTAGTTCAGACAACTACCTTAACCCTTAGCCGCCGGGTGGTATGTACATACATGCCATGGCTGTTGTGGACCGAAAGACTGGTGGCATCGTGTCATGCCCATTCTTGCGCCACTGGCTCATCGGATGTAGTTTGTTTTTCTCCGATAGTAGCGGCTTTTATTTATATGGTAAAGATTTTAGGCAATGGCACCTATATGAAGGTAAACCTTCAAAATATTAACATTTTTATAAATTATAGCAAAATAAAAGCTTTTAGGTGCTAAATATCACTCGCAAACTACAGATCAAGCCGGGCGCAAACGGGAAACTGCCGATGCGTGCCAACAACACCGTCCACTTGCCAAACATTTTTACCTGTCGACATTGGGTTAAGAAACATTTCCAATTTATTTAAAATGTACTTTGTTGCAGGGGGAGCCAGACTGTTTGCAAGGCCTTGTGTTTGTGCTTAGTGGTGTATATGAAAGCTTGGATAGGGAGGAAGCCTCAGAGTTGATTAAAAAATATGGCGGCAAAGTCACAACATCTGTTAGCCGCAATACATCCTATCTTGTCTTGGGTAATGAAGCTGGGGAAAGCAAAATAAAAAAGGTAAGGTTTACTCTGCTATCCATATTTTATTCCCATTTGAACTTGAAGAAATTAACAGTAAGCAAGATGATTACAATAATAATTCATGATTGACTCTACCTAGGATGCCAAAATATGCTTCTCAGAATATCCTTAAAAACTCTGTAAAGTAAAGCTTAGAATTTATCTTAAATATTTAATCTATCAGATACTCAAAATTAGTTGACAGATTTTTATGAGTCCTCTGTTATTAAGTTAAAATGCTGTGTAAATATAATTTTTTATTTTTTAGGCAGAACAATTAGGCACAAAACGTTTGGATGAAGATGGATTATTAGACCTTATTCGTACACGGCCAGGAAAAAGGTCTAATGAGAAATCTCCCAATGAAGGTAAGACACCTATCTGTTCAAGATTGTTAGTTTTTTAAAATGTTTAAATTGAACTATCCAAATTCATAACCAATTTACAGAGATATATTTCCTTTTGACTAAAGCTGTCTCTTATTTTGCAAGAAACACCAAAAAAACTTAAGGCATTTGCAAAAGAAAGTAAAGGAGATGCACTTGAGAAATCTTTGGTGAGCAGTCCGGTGTCAAGGAGCCCAGCTTCTAAGTCTGAGGCAAGTGCATCTAAAACACCCAGTCCAGGAAGGCCACTCTCTCAGAACACCCCTAGATCACAGGTAAATTAATTGACCATTTTTCAGATTTGTTAAATTTTCCATTTTACACAGCTTGCCAGTATCTTTAATGTGATCAAATTCACTGGCATAAAATAAAAGGTTGAATTTGATTTTTTTTTTTTTTTTTTTTTTTTTTTTTATGTTAAATAGTACCAGGAGCAATAATTCATTTAAACTGCTTGAAATAGAATATTTCCTCTTACTAATATTATGAATTAGAGTTTGTAGTTTACTTGGATACTGTAAACTGATGTGAAATCACAAAATGGCATGATTACATGCCATGCCCATTGTCATTTAATTTAATAATTGTGTTTACCCAGAGATGGCTATTCAAGTCCTTAGTCATCAAGGAGTATCTCACTTCTTTATTTTTCTGTTTTCTTGAAAGATCTTTTATATTATTTTACTACCTGTTATTAGTATTTCAATAACCTTATGTTAATCATAATATCAATAACAATGATAATAGTGTCAATGTTGATTGCATCAGTATTTTATTAACTGCACAAAAAAGAGAGAGAAAAAAAAGAACACATATTTAATGAATGGGGAAAGCAGGTGCAGTCACTAGATCCTACTAATTGACTCCTTGTTGGATGAATACTTGTGGTCCATATGTGTGCAACAAAATTCACAAAAGACTATGTATGTGAAAGTAGCATCAGCATCAGCCTTTGTAAATAGCATTCCAATACAGTCAAACCTTGGTTCTTGAATGACTCGCTAGTCGAACAACTCGGTATTCGAGCAAAAAAAATGTTGAGTGAAAAATGCCTCTGAAGTCGAACAAATTTTTGGAGTTTGAACACACGAGTCTAGCTGAGGCAAGCCGACGCGAACCAAACAGCTGGCTGAGTCTTGTTGATAGCGTTATATTTCATACTTCGCTCGTATTTTCACTTTTTTGTACTTTAGCCCTTAGTCATGGGTCCAAAAACAGCCATACATACATGCTAAATATGGTGAAGTGCAACTTTTTTTTGAAAAATACCACCCAGATAGTGTGGTCGCAAATAGAGAAATTAACATTTTCAATGATAATGCTATGTCTCACTTCAGAAAAATTCTACAACGAAGGCAAAAACAATTAACAATGGACAAGTTCTTAGTTAATGAGAAGAGGAAATTAACTGCAGAGAAAGATTCAAGTGAGCCAAAGGGACAGAGAAGGGAAAAAGAAATAGAAGGACAGTTACCCAGTCATTTTATGGAGGGGGACTTCCCTTCAAAGGAATAGCTCTTCCCCCTTCCCTCCTTCCCCATCCATGTACATATGTCATAACACACCAAAGGCAAAAATCTATGTTATATAAACTTATGCTTTTTGTTTCATTATTTACGCTTTTATGTGTTATAGGCATTTATCGGGTGCTTAGGAACAGATTAATCTAGTTTACATTATTTCTTAAGGGAAATAT